GACGGATCGGGCTGAAATTTGGCATGCAGGTAGATGTTATGACGTAGGCATCCGCTAAGAAAGTATTTTGATCAATTCTACCCCCTAGGGGATAAAATAGTAGTAAAATAGAAAGGGTGACTAAGTTTGAAAGTAATAATAAGCCTCTTATCCTGAACTACTTTGTTCTTTCTTTTTGTTGTGTATGTCTCTTTAGTTATAAAATATCCCTAAGTTCAGTATGCCTCTTGGCAAAGGCCTCTTCTAACAGTTTCCATTTCACTCTGTCTCTAGCAACCCTTCTCCATTTTGAGCCTGCCGTCAGTTTTAGTTCGTCCTCCCACCTCTTGCTTTGTCTTCCTCTGTTCCTTCTCCCATCTCTGGTACCCCAGTCTGTTATAATATTGCTCCACTTCTCTTGTGTACCGCGCAGCATGTGCCCAGTACATCTCCAATTCAAACTATCTATTCTAGTAAGTACGTCTGTGACTTTTCTCTTACTTCTTATGACGGTGTTTCATATTTTATCTTGTTTCTTAAGGGTGAAGCCAAACGAGCGAAATTTTGTGACTTGTGAGTCGCTTATTTTACGTTCAACTGAATTTCTGTTGAACTGCCATACGAACGTAATTTATTCAGTTACTATTGAGCGTTAGTACAGGGTGTTCGTGTCGTCGAGTGCAATGGATCCATTAGAAATATTGTGTATTTACGAAGCATATTCAGAAGATGAGGCCAGAAAAAGAAACTGGGTAAACCCACTGAATAGTCAGAGGCTGATATGTGGACAGTTCCATACTTTATATGAACGTTTATGTGCAAATCCAGATATGTTTGAAAAGTACTATCATATGCCATTACGTGTTTTTCAAGAATTATTACACCACGCAACTTGTAACAAACTGTTGCTTCCCCACTCCCCTTCCTTGCCCTACCCTCACCCCGACCGAAATTCGGACGAGCTTATGCGAATTGAGTCGGCAGACAACACATTTTGCGTTGTCGTGTGGCACCAACTGCCTTTTTGTATGAAACCGAATGCAGCAGAATTTCTGCGACCGAAATTCTGCGACTCACCACTCACAAAATTACGCTCGTTTGGCCTCACCCTAATACCTATAGCATACTTCGTTCCATAGCTCTTTGGCAGTGTTCCAGCACCCTCTAATAAGTTTGCAAGTACTCATATTAAAAATTTACAGCTAATGTACACTTAGTTTGCAATAAACAATTGACTAACTATAGTAAGGGCACGTATAAGGTATATTTACGAACCGATGGCGTAGCGTTTGACTTTCACATGAGCTTGTAACAGCCTAGACTGAATAAATGAGTTTGAGTTGAGTAGGAATACTGCACCTATAGGTGCTAGGGGTATAGGCTATACCTCTAGCACGAACCAATATCGAATTCGTTTGCGAGTACGAAATATCATTGTGAAATGTGTCCTAATTTTTAGTTCTCGTTACGTACTTTGAGGCGTTGCTGTTCAAGTTTTCATACAAAATTTGACAATGACATTTCGGACTCCCAAACTATTCGAATTAGATAATGGTTCGTGCTAGGGGTACTGCTAACGAAACGATATCTACCTGGGTCTAGGCACGATTTTAAACCGTATCTACGTCCGGTCGTTAGTTAGGTATGGGACACCATGGAGGTTTGTTTATTACACCGGCGCTAGAGAAGGTTTGGGGTCGATACAGACGTAAAACCGTGCTCCTGTACAAGCTTAGCTGGTACCGGCCCGGGTAGAAACTGTGTGGCGGAAAAGAATCTTATCTACTTATCGTACCATAGAATTTTCCGAAACCTTATGTTTTTATTTTTTTAAGCATTTAACTGTTAGATGTTTAAATCTCAAGAAAAGTTTTACTAGAAAAAAATCCATGCGGACCAGGCAGCGGACGGGACTCGAACCCGCACCCTTCGCAATCCGGGCGAATGCAAATTTTCCTGGCTTAAGCTGCTTATTGTGGGTTACCTACAATGCGAAGAGATGGCGCTGCCTTGCAGCTTAAGGCTAGGAAAATTTCGACGCAGCCATCAGGGCCGTGGTAGCATAATTGGTCAGTGCATTCACTCGGATTGCGAAGAGTCGAGTCCCGTCCTCTGCCTGGTCCGTGTGGATTTTTTCTAGTAAAACTTTTCTTTAGATTTCCGAAACCTTATTGATTAGGTCGACCGTCACGCATTCTATGTTTTGCATGAAGCTGCGTACAATGAAAAATTCCTATCGTGCATTAAAATCACGCAAACACCCGTTTCTCCAAAACAAGCACAAGGAGTGGAATAAACAATCATCTCCCACAGTGTTGCCATCCTAAGTGCAAACATCAATATCTGAATTCTGGTAATAGTGAAAAACATTGAATAAATTATCTTTTTGATTACTACTAAAATAAGATAGAGATACATTAAAATAACTTAAGCTTAAAAACTATATAACTTAACCTACTTACAGTCATAAAAAATTACTTTATTACAAAAAATAAAGATGTGGTTTTTGGTTCTACTACACCAATGGTCAAGAGATGGCGCTGTAGTCTCCTGAATCGCGCTTTGGTTCCGTTGTTCCAGATTAATAAATACTTTTGATTTTATAAATATGAATACCTATAATTGTTACTTTATTACAAAAAATAAAGATGTGGTTTTTGGTTCTACTACACCAACGGTCAAGAGATGACGCTGTAGTCTCCTGAATCGCGCTTTGGTTCCGTTGTTCCAGATTAATAAATACTTTTGATAGGCCTTCACAATGCATTCGTTAGCACCCACTAAATAGAGATTCTATTTCTATTTTGTTGGTAGATTTTCTTAATGTGCGGTAAACACAAAAGTAACTGTTAATTTTTTGTGTTACAGTGATGCGCGCGCATCTTAAAATTTCACTCTCATCATTTTTTCATAACGCGCCTAAACAAGTATAACTTCAAAAAATATTTACAAAATAAACAATATATCACCCCCAGCACCGTCACCAGGAATGGTGCTCAATAGGCTGACAGCATTGCCGCTTTGGATTGCAAGGCTAGATAAAGATGCAGCTGGCAGCCTTTTAATCACCAGTCAGTTCGGTGAGCCTCTTTGACAATTCCTTTAAAAGAAAACGAGCGCTTGGAACAAATATGTGGTTGTCATTGAGAGTTGAATACTTGCGCCGTTTGGAGCACTCGGCCACAGCGGTGACACTCTCTGTACGTGAGAGTTCCAGCGTCAGTGACCTTGAGCAGGAGCGTGTATGCACTAGGGTTGAACCGAATTGGAATTTAAACTTGTGCCAATGAATATTTATGCATAGTAAGTTATTAAATGTAAACTGATTCAAGGATACTGGGGTAAGTAATGAAGGATAGGTTTGATTTTATAATCTTTTAATGTAGGTACTATAACAAATTGCAAACTTTTATATATTTTCTCCTTTTTCGATTCGTTTTATAATTCTTATTATTATCTAAATTAAATAATAATAAGAGTGCGTAGCGTAGTCAGTCTGTGCGTGCAATGCAGTGCAACGCTGTTATTTTACTATTTCGCTACTGCCATGCCTTCGGTCGGGGCAGTCGGCGACTGCCCTCTCCACGTCCCGCGCGCCGCGCAACGCCCCCGCGCACCTCCAGACACCCACACATAGCCGCGGGCGATTTTACGAGCACACATGCTTAAGTGTCGCTTCTTTTCGCGTAGTGTATATATTCTGCGACTCGGCAGAGGTTGCGGCCGCGCCTAAAAGCTAGGGAGTTAAATAAATTAAAAACAACTGCTCTTTTAGAAAATACACTTATAGATACTGTTGTTACTTATTGCAGTCGGGTCTCAGTTTTGGAGAACCATGTTTTATTTAATAGATCCTCCGATTACAATGACTTAACTAAACTATTGCTCTTTCCTTTTTACATAATATCTTCCAACAGTTTCATCTTTACATTTTCTGGCTAACTTTTTCACCTTTGAAATACTTCTTTGAGGATTTTTAATTATCCAATCTTTGGCAGTGGATCAGTTGAAAACAGTTTGAATAATAGTAATGCAACATCAATTAATAAATATTTCCAACACCAACACCAAAGTAAGCACTGTAAGGCTTGTGTTATGGGACGCTAGGGGTAACGGATAGAATACATATACTGTACATATATAAGTATATTTATTGAAAAATACATATTAAACATCCATGACTGGAGTACAAATGCTCGTATTCGTCACACAAACATCTGCCGCCACCGGGATTCGAACCCGGGAACCTGTTTCCATAATAAGCATACAAAAAAAAAGAGTCGGCAACACCGGCGTACAAACCACTCAGTCAAGGAGGTCGTCAAATGCTCAGTATTTCTTAATCCAATTGTAAGGGTTTTTTTTTTGATAAAGTTAAATTGGCCCATGTATATACCGCAAAAGTAGGTGCAATTAAGTATGTTATAAAATGGTTGAAAATTTTGATTTGTATTACATTTTTTTTTACATTTTAACCTGAATCAAGCCAGATGCAGTTACAATTAACTGCTAGAAATTTTATTTTACACATGGGATATCAACACTAATAAGCACCATATTATGGCTATCATCATCATCATCAGCCTATTAATGTCCCCACTGCTGGGGCACAGGCCTTCCCTATGGATGGAATAGGGAGATTGGGCCATGACCCACCACGCGGGCCCACTGCGGATTGGTGGGTGCTAACGACTGCAGATGCAGCCGGGACCAACGGCTTAACGTGCCTTCCGAAGCACGGAGGAGCTCGAGATAGTAAATTTTTGGTCACCCATCCAATGACCGACCACTGCGAAAGTTGCTTAAATTCAACGATCGCAGCCGAACGCGCTAACCACCTGCGCCATCGAGCTCCTCTATCTCTCATTATGGCTATAAGCATACAAAAAAAATGTTTTTGACGCACGTTGGGTAAAATAATTTAATTTATGGCAACTCCAAAACGGATACCAAGAATTTGTAAAGAGAAGTGAAACGTCTTTACCCGTCTCAGTATTCTTTCGTATTAGATAGGTACTGGACCCAAAATGACGATCGAATTTAGTGGCTTAGCGGTGTGGTGAGTAGCAAACTTTTCTGAGCACATAATCCGTTTGGGTTTAAGGAAATTCTGAATTATTACGTAGAGCTATAAGTATGATTAAGATTTTCTAGTGTATTGTGAATAGCCTGTTTCTTTAGCACGCTCTGTAGCCTCAACGTTTGATCTTGATGATAGAACTCTAACATTATCCCGAGTGATACTATGTTATGAAAGTGATAAATTGCTTTTTTTATTTGAATACAAATAGCATGTCACACCACATGATTAAAGAAACGTACAGTCCGTAGTCACACTAAAGATCTTGACGAACACATCATATTCCAAAATGAATCTATTTTTTTAAAAAAAAATGACATTTCATTTTTAATTACAAAATCTTATTCTTTAAATAATCAAAATCTAATTACTCTTATATTGGTTACCATAAAACATAAAGACAATATGAATGTTCAAACAGGTTACTTTTGCTAGCTGCAGCAGTAAACGCGTTCATACCTAAATGGACTTACTACGATTGGTATTGGTACGTCGGTGATTACGAGAAGACCGATATAGATCCTGAGAGGTATACGTCTCCGTTTCCTTCCCGAGTGCAAGGGACCAGGGCAGAAGTGCCCAGTCCTCTGGAGACTCCAGACTACAGGATGGAAGAGAAGCCATATTACCGATACTATCATTATTCCACGTTCGAAGAAGACAGGCCATACCGACTCTCGCCTTTCTACAAGCAGCATTTGAGGCTGAACCAATATGTGAGGATATTTGTTTTCTGGCGTAGTATTTATCGGGTCATAAGAAAGGTTTATGTGCATACATGTTTTTTGAACTCTAGACCTAAAACTTGTCTGTAGTCAAGGAAGATCTAGCACGAGTTATCGTACTGTTTTTATTCCTTAGTTTCGATTAGATATTCCAAGGTAATATAATCCTTTAGGAACATGGAAGTAAATTATAAGCTTTGCCATCTCAAAGTTCTCTTGAAGTCCTCGATGGCACCGTGGTTAGAGTGCTAGATCAGCAATCGTAGAAGTTAAACAACTCTCGCAATAAAAGAAATGAAATGAAATCCACTCTGGGTCTGCATGGTTCCGTTCTCCCTACTTTATCCATTGGAAAGCCCTATGTCTATAGCTCCACCAATAGGGATGTTAAGAAGCTAATGATCTAAAGCTGTAAGTTGATAATTAAGCATGTTCTTCTTGTGCTGACAAATAACCAATGTCAAATGTGTAAATCATGTTTATGATTTCAGGAAAGTCCTGAAATGACTGGTTGCACATGCACAACAGTGTACAAGAGATTAAGGATGTTGGCAACTTGTGCTGTGCTCACGAGGAGGCATGTGTTGACCACCGCTACATCAACAGAGTTGGTACTAAGGAAAAGAAGACATTTTCTGTAAGGACTTGAGTTTTGGCTCACAGTTTTCTATCATCTTAGAATTCTTAAGAGGCATACGCCTAGTCTTTCTATTTCGTCCTTAGGATCTTGCCAAATGTTGACGAATGAGAGTAAAGTGAGATGTTTTTGGGCTTTTAAATGGGAAGGGTGGTAAGGGAGAAGGTTGAAAAAAGGTCTTTTGATATACCACCGTTATCTATCTGGCACAGTTCCAGGGTTCTATCTCTTGAAATAGAATATGATAAAAGTTAAAGGTGCCAGATATTCAATATTGATTTAATCATTGCAGCCACTTAGAGAACATCTTGGGAGTCTGGTATGACATCGCAGATGACAGGTACAATAGTTCGATGTATGTAACGCCTGCTCGGATACACTACCATCCGAGGGTTAGTATAATGCCAGATTGATTATTTATACATAACGGGGATTTTTATTTTTAAGTATCAACTATCTGGTTGAGTTAGCTAGCCAATATAATGCCTAGGCCATTCATTATCTTATTTGATGTCTAGAGCGAAAATTATGCAACTGGCGTCAACCTATTCAACATGGCTACTGATCAAGACTTAGCCACGTATTGGTATATCAGTTCAGATAAATTAGTTCTTTCCACAATGTTGTTGAACTTGTTGAGTGTAAATTAATTTTATTAAAATTCACAAGAAACTAGTTACCAGATAATTCGGTTAGGAATAGCGTTGCTTTAGTTTTTGTATTGAAATCTCAATATCTCTCGACAGCCCCATATCCAGGTATCACAAACTGTCAAATAATAATAATATATTTATTTATTTCTCCTCACAACATGACTCTATTGTAATAGGTAAATACAGAAATGATAATAAAATGTTCTCATTTGGTTGAGAGAATCTTATGCTAAACACTATTAAACTCAAAGTCAGTTTTGTGTAACTTGACTTGTGGCTCTTTGTATCAATCAATGCGAAGCCAGCTAATATATGACTTTGAATTTCAGTACGTGTTCCCAAAGGACGTGAACAGATCGCATCCGTTTCCGATGATGCACGATTTGTCAGTTTGGACGACGACGCACAGGATGTATGGAGGCAGTTGGTTATTTGGCAAAGGAGCAGCATACTGCTGCGCCAGAGGAAGCTCTTACTGGTAATCACCAATTCAGTATCGTTCATTCTGTTAAGGCAGTCACAAGTACTTAAGAATGTGAAAAAACTAAGCCACATGCCGCGGGTGACGCCGGAGTATTGAGAAGAACGAACAGGAAAATCAGTAAGCGCAGTTTTGCCTGTATTATTGTTATAAATGTCAGTCACCTGTGAAGTTGAAACTATGACACGAATTAACCTATCATCATCGGATCCACAGACGTTGTCTGGCCAGCAGTGCCGTCTTTGATCTATTGGAGGCCCTGGGCATATAAGAGTAATGGGGCCCCTATGAACTAGGGACTTTGTATTTGATCTGAGGGGGGCCCCTATTGATCGCGGGGCCCTGGGCACTTGCCCAAACTGGGAAAGGCGGGTCTGCTTGCCAGTTAAAAATATAAAAAACTAAAACCTAAAACCTACTGTAGCACCATCTATCGGGTAGAGTTGTAAGTTATGTTTTCTTTGACTTTGCAATTTTCTGGTCATCTTTCGTATTTTTCCGTATATACAACAACAACTGTTGAAACAGACTTGCGCCATCGAGCGCGTTCGGCTGCAATCGTTGAAGCTATGCAACTTCCGCAGTGATCGGTTATTGGATGGGTAATCAAAAATTTACAACCTCGAGCTCCTCCGTGCTTCGGAAGGCACGTTAAGCCGTTGGTTCCGGCTTCATCTGCAGTCTTTAACAACACACCAATCCGCACTGGGCTCGCGTGGTGAGCCATGGCCCAATCTCCCTATTCTTTCCATAGGAAAGGTATGTGCCCCAGGAGTGGGGACATTAATAGGGTAATGATGATAAACATCTACAAAGTATTAGAAAATTATGATAAAAGATGGATGAAATCGGTAAAGTCTTTCTAAAGTTGTGGCGTCACTGAAAAAAGAAATTCATTCTTAGACATTATTAATATATGATAAAAATTATCGTTTCGTTACAGGTGGGAAACCGGTCCACCTACTCCAGGTCCAAACGAACTGGCGTACCTTGTGGGTTACCAGTTCATAAAAGCCTTCCATAGGAACCCGTTGCCTTGGGTGAAGTATGGAGTAAGGACAAGGAAGCATTATCAGCCATGCCCTAAGGTATGCCGTATGGCCCCACGACAACGGCTAACTAGAGCCGAGGTCCGAATCTCAGAGCCGCCCTCTAGTAGAGCAGCCTCCCTCAGGTTCGAGTGATCTAAAGGCTCCAGACGGAGAGGAGACTCGCTCCGTGGGGAGATGCCCTCCGCTGAAATACTTTTAGAGGCACTCGCCAATTCTAGGCTTGAGGTCCCATTAGGATCTCGCCATCCTCAAACCCGGTGACGCTGTGAAGGTCATCTGCGACCAACAGCTTACTAACTAAAACAAAATGCCGCATGTTCTGAGTTTCATACATATATAGAAAACATACGTTCACGCCATACATTGCTTGCTTATTCGGAGAACATCAACACCACAGTGCGACCAGGGTCTTTATGAATGTGAGTGACAGTTCAGGGAGGGCACCACTGTTTACGTGAAAGACCGTAAATGGTATACAAAATGAGGCGTTTGCAAAGACGGCGGCGTTAGTTCCAATTTTCGCTACATTCCCAAAGATCTTTGTCGCACTTTAAGGCACTTCAACGTTAGACCTCTTCCTAATAAAACATGAATTACGCGAAAAAAGTAAGTTGTGGCTGCCTGGCAAATGAGAAGCAAGTCGTAAAGCCAATAAAAAATAAAAATATAATATAGGGTTCCATAGAAGCCGATCAAATCGATCGGCCAGTATACAGAAATGTCACGAAATTATTGGTATGATACATCCGTCCGGAATCCATAATAGGGTATCTGACAAGTTTTAGAAAACGATCTCACATTACTGACTAATGTTTATGGAGTCCGTAAAAATTATATATTCATCATTCTGTTGTGTATTTCAGCAAAAATAACCAAATCAAAAACTCCATTTTCAAGTTGCCGCGAAAACGTTTTACTGGACAATATGGCGTCTTACTAGTATGTGACGTCACACGACTGTTATTAAAACGTCAAACGATACAATATAATGTCACTTTAAGCGGAAGTTTTTCGTGGGTTTTTAGTAAAATTATAAATATTTTATTTTGTAGTAAAAACCCTTGCTATGCTTGCACTTTATTTTTAATACTGTCAAATACCCTATTATCATTTAAAACTGTGCTCAATAGGGTTTTTTATTCCTTATCTTCCAGACCGAGTGGGGTTGGTTTCACTGTGTGAGCACCACCTGGGCGCCTTTAGGCCTGGACCAGGGCATGAACATGCACCGCACCTTCCAAGGAGGCAGCTGGTTGTACGATGGTCTCATTGGTATTAATTCTCTCTCGATGAAGTTGAGAACCATCGACATGGTCCATTACTTCACTGTTCTGGACACACATTCCGTTCTGGATTTCCTCTATGACTCCTACATGGGTCTTCTTAAATGGGAGTTCTTGGACTACAGGTGCGTTGAGCTTTGCTATTTACATTTTCATAGGGTTCCTCTAAAAGGTGATGAAAGAGACCTACCTTAGCCTCGGTCTGTTCGTCCGTCAGTTTGTCTTGCGGAAAAGTCGGGCGCAGGCTCTAATGCTCGTTGTGCGTTATACTAATTTATATAATAAGCATTTTATTCATCTCCAAAATTACGAAAAGTTGCTTGAATAGGTAAATATGTTTTTGGGCAACTGAAACTGTATATCATACCCGGTATATGTAAATACTAGCGGTCAGTCAGTCTCCTTTGAGTTCTATATATGGGTATATAGATATGCGAGTATTTATAAAGTTTGTTTATTTGTATGAGTAGGTATGCGGTAAGGCTTCCCAGTACTAAGTCTTCCTCTATACGTATTCGAATCGATATGGTAAGACTTTTCAGGTTTTCGCAAGTGCTTTTTACAGATTAAATGATGTGAATAAATGGTATTGAGTTATCCACCCGGATCGCGAAAGGTGCAGGTTCGAATCCTGTCTGATGCTTGAACCGCGTGGACTTTTCTATAGATTTTTTTAGATTTATAAATTTAGCAGTAAAATGTCTAAAGTTAAAATACACAAATATATATTGAGTATATATTCTTCGTGCTTCGGAAGGCACGTTAAGCCGTTGGTCCCGGCTGCATCTGCAGTCGTTAGCACACACCAATCCGCACTGGGCCCGCGTTGTGGGTCATGGCCCAATCTCCCTATTCCATCCATAGGTAAGGCCTGTGCCCCAGCAGTGGGGACATTAATAGGCTGATGATGATGATGATATATTGAGTAATTCTTTTCAGGTTTCACGATACCAAACACTACACTTTGGAGTGTAAGAACCCCGAGAGTCTTTACTGGAATTGGGAATACGGTGAAGAAAAGCTTTATGGAATGGATTTACCTAATTACTAATTATCTTAGAGTAAAACAAAAAGGGAAAATACGGTACGCTCATACTAGCATCCAATAAAATATGCTCCGATTCAACTACATAAGCAACTCCCACACACGCACACTTCTGTAAATAAACATTCAATCGAGCGAGCGAGACAGAACTTACGCTTCAACCAGAGGCTTCAACGCAGCGCGAGCGCAACGGCGATTCCGCATCGCTTGCCAACCGACTTTTCTTTTCTCTCTCTACAAACGGCTGAGCTGTATTGTTGTCCTTTTCTTGATAACAAATGGCGAATAATTAAATAAAATCCATGACAAACATGAAAAAAATGATTTTATAGTTTTACGAATGAAAAGTTTTACTGTGGAAATTGTCATTTGATCTTGAAGTATTTGTCTTCTTTATTAAAGCATAGAAGGCATTGTTTTATCTTTATAACACAAAATATACAGAAAATTAAATATATGTTTTTCAGTGCACATGATGAAATGTAACGTAACGATTTTAGTTGAGAATGCAGATTTAAAGAGCTAAGGATTCCATAATATACAGTGGTAAAATTTTTGTTCTATGACAAATATTGACGAAGCTATGAACAAATTACTAAACGAATTTTCAGATGGCTGCGTGGTGGCTGTGACAGAGCTGTAGCGCTCGGGCGCGACCGTGCGTAGAGCAACGATATTAAATACCCTAGATACACCACGAGCGCTCAAAATGTGTCCCAATCAAGAAGTGCTTGAACTCCACTCAATCACTTCTTGGTTCACAATCACGCGCGGTCCGTTACAAAGTCAAGATGCCACAGAGCTCCGCAAAAATTGCGACAAAAGTGTCGTTTTATCGACAGGTATCTTGTCAATTTTTGTTAATTTAACGCATTTGAAGCAAATTTTGATCTAATACTTACTCTAAACTGATTTAATATAAAAAAAATTGTGATATTATATACTTCGCCATATAGCCGTCTCTTTTTCTCGCGGTCCGTGCCTGCTATATTACTAACAGCGCGTTCAGAATTGCGCGTAGAGTCAAAGAACTAAGGTCTAAATTCTTCCGCATGTAGCAATAAGTAGTAAAATTTTACAAGCTTGCATTTCGAACTGTCAGAAGTTCTTGACGCATGCGTTTTATTTAAGACCTTATAAAGTATGTATTAAAGGTTACTTACAATATTTAAATAATTCCTTATATTGATTTTGACTACGCGCTCATCTTACGGAGCTCCGTGGATCGTTCAATGTACCTTTTGGACAGGTTTCGGGCACGATTTTGTTCGTGTTGGTGTATCTATGGTATTTAATATCGTTGGCGTAGAGACGCTACTGAAGTTAGACCTTAATGAACCGCGATCGAGCTATGTGACGTCACACGTTTCGGCCGCCGGTGAATATCGGCTACCATAATATTAGTTATAAAATCGCAACGAATGCACCGATTGCGATGATTTAAAAATTAAATTAATTAATAAGATTATTAGATCATTAAACTGTTTATTCTAAGTTAATTTACTGACCTAGGCCGTATACAGAAAGAAAGCCGAAAGCCGATCGCCGCTTATCGGCGCCTATTGACGCTGATCCGAATAATAAATAATTTGTATTTGAATTATTATCCTTAGATTAAATCAATCTAAGTTATAATCTTTTTATAAATCTAATAACTTTATCTTTTATTAACTAAGCGCTAAAATTATTTGTTTCGTACTTACCGAATGGTGACAACAAGTCTTTCTTCTGGAAGGATTGGTTGTTTATGCCAATTGCCCCAATTTTTCATCAAACGGTTTTTCACTAAATCCAAAATGTAATAAAATGTTTCTTGAATCATTCTTGTATATGTATAAAATCTTTGTTCATCACATTTTTTTTTTTTACAAATAAACGATGGTATTCTCCGAAACGTTCCTTTCTCTATTTATAGGATGTATAGCTGTTTTTCGCATTTTTAAATAAACATTTTCTAACAAAACCAAATCATCGTCCGATCAGTCCGACATTTTGCTTGATCTGCTTTAATCGGCTTCCTTTATGTAGGAAGGATCGGCGCCGACAAGCGCCGATCGGCGCCGATCGGCTTTCGGCTTTCTTTCTGTATACGGCCCTAGTAATGATCCTTTGATCATACACCACAATTTAAGCGGTACACTTTTCAGCCGCGAGTTCCGTATCTTCTTTTTTTGTTGTAATCTACATAAGTATAAGCTAATGAGGGCTATCGTTTTTTGTCTCACCAGATGGCGCCACTGTTGAGTGAGGTCCTGAAGTGTAGCTTTTAAAGTTAGTAAACACGCTCGTGATATCAAAGTTTACATTTTAATACAAAAGAATCGTATCTTAAACGTAATCGTCCATGTCAGTGTTGCGCAGTCCCGTTTTGTTCGGAAAAAAGGAGACGTAATATTTTTTTACAGCTCCGCTTTTAACTAACGGACATTCATTGAAACGTAACTCATATTTGCCATAATAAGTCTGATTTATTACCAAATATTACAACTATTACTTTAATTAGTAAAAAACCGCGTAGTCGACCCACAAAGCTATAACATTTGACATTTCGGAGACCTCACGCAACACAAGCGCCTCTAGCGGCGGTTTCAGACGCGATAGACGACGGGGAGCTAAAGCGGGGATTTTGGGATTACACGAGCGCGGCAGAATAGCTTAAGGGGGGTAACCTTGCACCTCATGAAGTACATACAATATAAGTATGTACACAAAAAATTGCATACAGGTAGCATAGCAATTTCTTAATTTATAATATGGTGATATAGCTATTGGAATTCTTATATTTCACATATTTTTGAATGCAATATAAAAAAGTGTATCTTTTATCTATTAGACGAGTCCGTCTGTCCGTGGTGCTGTTTCAGCGGCCAAACCGTAAGAGATAGATAAAGAGAATATTTAAGTTATAAGTTAAGAATAGTCTGATAAGACTACAAACCGGATTTGAGTAACGTAGCACTTCCGGTTTTCGGGAAATCACGAATTTCAAACGAAACCACACAAAATCTCCGAAGTTCTCAATTAAATAAATACATTTTTTTTTAAATCAGGTTTTGGTGAACATTTGGTTCATGGGTTTGCTAGTTATAAATTAATATTCATAAATTATTCGACAGTTCCTGATTATACATTATAAGGTATTTATTGTAAATAAAATAAAAACACATTTCGTTTAACTTTTATTGTGAATAAAACAAGAATTACTTTTACCACCATAAAATAATAATTTGAGCGTTATTTATTTTTAAAATCTATTGTCCTAATGACTGCATGGCTACAACCTATTCAATAAATAATAAATTAATAATATTTAACGCAATAAATTAATTATGACTTGATTCGAGCGATTCATCTGGTCTTTCATGCCCAATTTTATTGTTCTTCTAAATCTGGTAAGCAAATGACTCTACCCCACCTGATGTTAAGTGGTGATAAAGTCCAAACGCGAAGATAGCTGGTACAGCAGTTATAAACTGCCACACCAACCATCCTCACCTTGCCGGCCTGCAAAAATGGTTCTTCACGCCTCTCTTAAAAGAGCCCAGATTGTAGGAAGGAGGGAACACGTGCGCAGGCAAAAAATTCCGCTTACGAATAGTACGACAAAGAAATGAGTCACCAATTATTATTACAACTATTTTTGAATGTTCTATACCCAGTTACACCACACTGTACGTTACTTTGCCGTGATTACGCGAACTGATTTTAATGGAAGTTAGAGTTACACCAACAATAGGGTATTTGACAAGTTTTAGAAAACGATCTCACGTTATTTACTAATGTTTATAGAGTCCATAATAAGGATTAATGAATATTCATCATTATGTTGTGTATTTCGGTAATAAAACCTAATCAAAAATTCTATTTTCAAGTTGCTGCGAAAAACGTATCTCTGGACAATACGGCGTCGCACTGGTGTGTGACGTCACACGACTGTCATTAAAACGTCAAACCATACAATCAAATGTTACTTTAACCGGAAGTTTACTTGCGTGTGACGTCATTTTAGGCTCCACCAATCCCAAGCGTTTTGGGTCACGTGATAATAGAAAAGAAAACTATTATCTTTATCGTGGGTTTTTGGTAAAATTATGAATATTTTTTCTGTAAAAATAGTAAAAACTCCTGCCAATATGCATTCTAAATACAGTTGCTAACAATTGGCACTTTAATTTTAATACTGTCAAATACCCTATTACTGTTGCAGCAAGTGTACCTTAAATTTTTCATTTATTTCTACAATCACAGACAGAAAGCTCTTTTAAGTTTGATTAAAGTTATTCCTGTCACTTTCTTTTCTTTAACAATAGAGTAAGACAACACAGGACATTAATTGACATTAAATTTGTTTGACGTCTCTGTGTAGTTACGGTCGTTAATTTGGGGATGTAAGTTATTAGCATCATATATACGAGCACACTTTCAACTTAAGATTATACATTTTGTAAATTTCCAAAATAGAAAAAAAAAATTTTTTGTTCAGTTGCGTAAAACAGAATGAATTTACTTTTCAGCAGTTATTTTTATAATCAGGCTATGAGTAGTTTAAACGACCATCTTTTATGAATACAATCAAAATCAACTCTATAGAATCAGCGCCGACTAAAAACTTCTTTCTTCCTAAGAAACATCTCTTATGCTGGAAAGCAAAGATTTCTTTAGACAAGCTACATTTTTTTAAATAAAAAATGTTATGTCTGTATGTAAACAATCTTAACCTTTTCACTCCTCTTGTGGTTTAAAGTACGCACGAATGCATCATACAATTTTTCAAAGTTAAAATTAGTCAGCGCCGAGGGATTTAGTAATGCTAAAATTTTCATAAATATTTTCTTAAATGTAACAACAATAACCGTTAATAATGCTAGGTTTTGGACATAGCTCTCATAACAACCTAATGCATATTCTAAAATAAATAAATAATGATTGAAAATGCTTCATTGTCTTAAATTAAATTAATCTAAGTTTATTTGATATGGATACAATTTCATTTAATTTTCTTCTACTTGTGTTTATATTCAATGACTAATCTGGTCGGAATCTAACTGTGTAACTTATAAAATCGTTAAATTACGCTGTGTAATGTAATACAGGTTTTCTCCAAAGATAAATTATGCGCAATTATACAATTGCTTGTCAACCATCGCATTTTTTTATACAATAGGTTGTAATAGTTACAAAGATATCGTTGTTCAGTTATTTACGTTCCTGTTTCATGCGCTGTTAAAGAAAAGTTTATAATGCGATTCAAACTTAATACCAGCTGCTGTGAAGTTAGCGCAAGTCACGATGCGCTGGACTAAAACTTGCGCGTAGCTGCACTCGCGGCTAACTTCACAACCGCAACAAAGTTTGAATCGTACTAGACAAATAATTGTTTTATTTAAACTCGACGTTGCAATGAGGATACAGTGCTATGCAGTCTTTATGCTCCTGTCCGTCCCTCGCGGCTTGCACGTAGTTGTAGTACAGCAGCGCCATCTTGCTGTCGGCCGGTGGTAATAGTTCACTGGAGTCTCTGAACAAACAAAATATCATCAAAATACAGTGATAAATACAAAGTTTTATGACGAAGGATTTTTTTGTGAATGGCTCTTGATTTTCAATCCAACCCGAGATCAGAGATCTACGGTGTCACAAGCTTACCCAGAAGGAGCCTATTTATTGGTGGCTTTAAAAAGAGTCGCATTATATTATGTACTCGAAAACACGGACTCAGGCAGGCAATTCCACTCCTTCGGTGTACACATTATAAAAGTATTTGAGAAGCGTTTGGTGCCGAACGAACGAAATGACGAACTTTGTAGCTTAAAGCTAAGCGTGACAGACTGGCCTTTAATAGCAAATCGTGGGTTTGAGTTCCTTTGGTTTCTGATGCTAGATTGGAAAGATAATTAGTTTTTTTATGTTTTTGTCCATAGAATCAACAGAGGTTCGAAAAACATATGCAAAAATATGTGGGTATTCTACATTAAAATGACCGGGAATCGTACCGGTGTGTTAAGTCTCTCAGCTGCGAAGATACGACGACAGTCAACTGACTTGCTCAGCTGGTTAGAGACTAGATTGCTTTACGACGCGTGCCTGAAGAGGCCTCTATATAGAGGCTCGTGTCTGCCTTAAGTCATACGACTTGGCACTCACTTAATCAGCTGGATAGAGACTAGATTGCCGTACGGCGCGCGCCTGAAGGGGTCTCTACAGAGGACTCGTATCTGTCTTAAGTCATGCGACTTGGAACTCATTTGCTCAGCTCGTTAGAGACTAGATTGCTGTATGGCGCGTGCCTGAAGGGGTCTCTATAGAGGGCTCGTATCTGCCTTAAGTCGTTCGACTTGGAACTCACTTGCTCAGCTCGTTAGAGACAAGATTGCTGTACGGTGCGTACCTGAAAGGGTTTCTATAGAGGGCTCGTATCTGCCTTAAGTCATTCGACTTGGAACTCGCTTGCTCAGCTCGTTAGAGACTAGATTGCTGTACGGCGCGTGCCTGAAGAGGTCTCTATAGAGGGCTCGTATCTGCCTTAAGTCGTTCGACTTGGAACTCACTTGCTCAGCTCGTTAGAGACAAGATTGCTGTACGGCGCGTGCCTGAAAAGGTCTCTATAGAAGGCTCGTATCTGTCTTAAGTCATGCGACTTGGAACTCACTTGCTCAGCTCGTTAGAGACTACATTGCTGTATGGCGCGTGCCTGAAGGGGTCTCTATAGAGGGCTCGTATCTGCCTTAAGTCATGCGACTTGGAACTCACTTGCTCAGGTCGTTAGAGACTAGATTGCTATACGGCGCGTCCCTGAAGGGGTCTCTATAGAGGGCTCATGTCTGCCTTAAGTCATGCGACTTGGAACTCACTTGCTCAGGTCGTTAGAGACTAGATTGCTGTATGGCGCGTGCCTGAAGGGGTCTCTATGGAGGGCTCGTATCTGCCTTAAGTCATGCGACTTGGAACTCACTTGCTCAGCTCGTTAGAGACTAGATTGCTGTATGGCGCGTGCCTGAAGGGGTCTCTATAGAGGGCTCGTATCTGCCTTAAGTCATGCGACTTGAAACTCACTTGCTCAACTCGTTAGAGACTAGATTGCTGTACGGCGCATGCCTGAAGGGGTCCCTGTATAGGGCACACACGGCTCTGTCTCTGCACCCGGGATCGCCGGCGCCTATGGAAGTTAGAATCTTGTCCACTCTGTCCAAGAGGGCGCCGTAGAATTTCTCCGCTGCTACAGTCTCCTGACAAAGATAAATAAATATAGGAGCGTTATTATTTATTTGGCAGTTCTAAAATAACATACTAACAAGTAATTCACAAAACAATTTGTAAATTCGATGCGAAAACTGACAATTCTCGCCGACGGAGGCACTAATATCCTATGGCTGAAACAATGAAGAATATCAGCATATTTTGATTTTTGCCGTACAATAAACTCTATTAAAAATTAAAATATACTATATATATATATATATATATATATAATATTATACTACTTCTATAGTTAAGAGGCATTTAATTGTTTGCTGCTTGCTGTTGCTTCACCAGATATATCTCAATATAACGCGCGAGCGCCGTAGCGAACGGACGTGTTTTTGCTCGTTAAAGTATTATAAATTATCATCGACCCGCGCATAAAAAAAAAAAAAAAGAAAAACATCGTCTGTTTTAGTATTTATAGAATTTTTTTATTGTGTGCATAAGAAGAAGAAATAAAATGAGTACGAAAGTTCAGCGGTCACCAAATAAGCCACGCTCAGTTCAGACCCTTACTGGTTCGCTCACGGATCTGACCGGCTGCGAATCTGCAGCACCAGACGTCATGATAAAGCGTAAAAGGAAGGAACCTGATTCCAACCACGTTCAGAAGGGAGACTTCGACGAGTTCAAGAAGGAAATTATGTCCTTCCTACACGACCTTCGGAAATCCAACGATGAACTTCTGCTTAATGTAAGGTCAGAAATCTCCGAGATGAAGTCACAGGTAACTTCGGTAACTTCAATTATTAACAATTTATCACAGCAAAATAGCGAATTCAAGCTAGAACTAGCGGAGTTGACCAAATCCATGGATTTTCACGCAAAGTCATTCGATGATATGCGAGAACAGTCGAAGGTTCTATCCAGGGACGTTGCGTATCTTAAGAATATGGATCAAGATATTGAAGCATGCAGACTTCGTTTGTCACAGATAGAACGAGACCTTAATATCCAGCAACAAAGAGAGCGCTTGTATAACCTAGAAATAGTGGGATTCATGGAGAATAAAAATGAGAACCTTACTGAGTGCTTTTTATCAATGTGCAAAGCTTTGGATGCTCCAGTTGTTAAGGAAGATATTTTAAACATTTACCGTGTACCTTCGAAAATTTCCGACAAAAAGTATCCTAAAAATATTATCGTAAAAATGAGGAATCAATTAACAAAAGATTTTATCATATCGGCAGTCCGCAGAAAGAAAGGTCTTACATCTGATGACCTTGGTTTAACTACCTCCGATCCTTGGCGTATCTATATCAACGAGCATTTAACGCCATTTTACAAGATGCTGCATAAGAAGACTCGGGAAGCTGCTGCTGGTGCTAACTATCAGCATGTCTGGGTACGCAATGGAAAAATCTTCGTTCGAAAAAACGACACTACGCCTGCACTCAATATAATGGATCTAAAGGATGTGGAGAAGTTGAAATGATCGGTTTGACTGTATTTATCATGATATATAAAATTACTGTTCTCAGGGGAAGCATTCAATGTCTTTTTGAAGTTATATGCGTGTATTATTTGTGTATTTGTGTTTACGTTACATATTTTCAGCGTCATGCAAGTTATTATAATTATACGTATTTAAGGTTGTCTAAGAATATTGCACAATGTTATTTGACAGACCTTTTTAATGTTTATGTTAAGGGAAAACAACTGCCTTGTGTGCTGTTCCGTTTTGGATTGTCCATTCAGGTAAATAATTATTTGCATATCTCATTTTATTTAGACAGCAACTTACTGAACGAATGTCTACGTTATCTTATAACGGAAGGTTCTTATTTAATCTTTATTTTCACATATTTTAGGAAAAAATCGAATATAGTTAACAGCATTCTAATGAATTTACATATAAACTTTATCTTTCTGACATGGAATCTATCAAAAAATAATGTATTAACCACTAAACTAATATACCTGGGCACTATTTACAATATACTTTATAATTTTTATTTAAACTATTTACTGTCCCTGATAAATAACTTAACAAATGTTAATTTGTTCATCAAAGAATTTTGTGATTTGTTATGGATTGAAATGTTACTAGTCTGCAATGGATCATTTTATCTGGGGTGTAACTGTATAGTGATACCGTGTTGCAACTTTGGTGTCCTTAATGTACTATACTATTGGACTAAACTTTTAAGAACTGGACTACTAAAACAACAAACAAGTTTAAATACAAATAAATTACTTTTTAAATGTACCAATTGGTTCAAGTTCATAATATTCACAGTGCATGTACTAATTATTACACAGAGAAAGTTACTGTTAATTTATCTAAATTACCGTGTAATGAGAAGAGGCTTATGTTATTCTATAATTTTGGTTGGATTAATTATGAATTACAGCATGTTATCATATCTATTTCTAAACTATTATTTGTGGATTAGCTCACCAAATATGATGATATTGAGCGGTGAAAAAATAAGTACTTATAGCTATTGGTTATCTTATCTATTCTTAAACAATAAGTATTTTTTTCTGAATCATAATTTAATATTCTCAACATTATTTATCAAAAAGTCAAAGAGAGACATATCACTTTACTATTTTGTTTTTATTGTGGCAAGGAATGTATTTATTTTGTTTTCACTGCTAATAATTAGTATTTTGTGGCAGTTTCCAGTGACACTGTACAGTGTAATCATGCACAAAAGGAAGTATCAATGTACTAACGAGTTTATAACCCTTATTGTTAAAACTTTTATACCAAAGAACAATAAAGTCAAGTTAAGGTATCAAATTCTAAATGTTTCATTATTTTACTATTATAACTGATATGGCTACTAACAGGCATGATAAAGCAAACCTACACATTTACTACCAGAATGTTCGTGGTTTACGTTCAAAAACTTTAAAGTTGTTTAACAATACACTAGCTAATGACTATGACATCTTATCATTCACTGAGACATGGCTCCAGGACGACGTAATGAACACGGAATTATGTGACGCTAGGTACGATGTGTTTCGTCATGATCGCAACTTGCAGGTAACTGGGAAACAAACGGGAGGCGGTGTGATGCTTTGTGCCCGGCGTGAACTAGAGGCATCCTTGTCTAACGAGTGGCACGGAGCCGCAGCAACTGAGTCATTATGCATATCTATACCGGCTCACGTAATTGGTTCGTCACATAATTTGCATGTTATTTTAATTTACATTCCCCCGGATTTAAACTTTTTTTCTAATCGATTAACTCAAACTGCAAATAGCATACAACACATTACTGAAATGTATCCCTCAGATAGAATCATTATTTTGGGCGATTTTAACTTACCTTGCATAAGTTGGAATAATAATAACGATTATATAACTACTGGTACAAGTTCTAGGATTCTTAAAGACTGTGCAAATACGTTTGTTGATCATTTATATTTCCTTGATTTTTTACAGTATAACTTAGTCGTTAATAAGACGGGGAAAGTTCTGGACTTATGTTTTAGTTATACCCCCTGTAAAATTTTGCAGTGTCAAAAGCCTATTATCACAGAGGATGGTTACCATCCTGCCCTTGATATTTGGGTAATGGACCTACAAGTGACCCCTCTAGTAGACATCAAAACTCGTCAGTTCAATTTTTATAAGTGTGATTATGGTAGACTGAATGAATACTTTACTAAAATTAATTGGGATGAGTTGTTATTAAGTAGCTCAGTTAACGAGGCTGTCAACGTATTCTATGACAAATTAAAAACTTCTTTTTCTTTATTTGTTCCTTTGTCAAATAGTCCTAAAGGGTCCTATCCATCTTGGTACAGTCCTGCCTTAATAAAAATCAACAAAGAAAAGATGTTAGTACATAGACGCTGGAAAAGATATGGTAACCCCAGGGACTATGACGAGTTCAAGTTACTTAGAGAACGACAGCATAGATTACAGAAAACTTATTTTAAGCATTTTATTGATTCATCCGAAAAACTCTTGCAAAAGTCACCCAAATATTTTTGGAACTATATCAAAGGTAAAAGGAATACCAGTAGTTACCCTAAAACTTTTTCACACTCCAATAACTTTTATTCTAGTGGTGAAGATATATGCAGGGCCTTCAGTGAGTTTTTTGAGAGCGTTTTTGTGAATTCAACTGAGTCACATCCTCCACTGCCGGAGGGAATTCCTTGTAGCGAGGAGCATCTTGCCCGGATCCATATAGACGAGGACCGAGTACTAAAGCTTCTGCAGTCTTTGGATGCAACTAAAGCTGCTGGATGTGATGGCGTGCCCCCAGTACTGCTGGCATCTTGTGCGAAAAGTCTTTCGGCTCCTATCACCATGTTGTTTAATAGATCGCTTAAAGAGTGTGTTTTCCCTGATGTTTGGAAGCAGGCCAGAATCGTGCCAGTGCATAAGAAGGGGTCTAAGTCACTCATAGAGAACTATCGGCCAACTTCGATCCTCAATACGGTAAGTAAATTATTCGAGAAGGTAGTTCTTGAGCAAATTTACTCCACCATTGCTAAAGGTATTCCGCAGAATCAACATGGATTTTTGAGACGCCGCTCTACTGTATCGAACCTAACACTGTTTTCAAATTATGTTCTTAATGGAATGGAGAAGGGTGGACAAGTTGACGTAATTTACACGGACTTTGAAAAAGCGTTTGACCGCGTAGACCACGGTATCCTCATCCATAAACTTCAATGCCTCGGTATTCATGGTGATTTATTACGCTGGGTCCAATCATACTTAACTAAAAGGTCTCAGATGGTCGTTCTTGGTGGATACAGATCTGACTTTGTCACTGTCCCTTCTGGAGTTCCACAGGGCTCGCATCTCGGTCCTCTGTTTTATAATGCGTATATCCACGACATAGATAAGGTAATCAAGAACTCAAACCATCTTCTGTATGCTGACGATAAAAAGATATTCATGAGTGTGCGCGATGTTGCTGATTGCCAAAAGTTGCAGGACGATCTAAATAATCTTTTCTATTATTATAACAAAAATAATATAAAAATAAGTATTAGTAAATGTCAATGCATAAGTTTTACCCGTAAACCTAATCCTATAGTGTTTCCTTACAATTTCAATAATGTAACGATTGTGAGATCTGATGTGGTCCGTGATCTAGGAGTGTACTTTGACAGTAAAATGGTAATGTCTACACATATAGACACTATAGTGGGGAGGGCCTATCGTAACCTTGGTTTTGTTATGCGTACATGTCGTCCTTTTAATAGTCCCTTAAGTCTAAAAATAGTCTATTATGCATACGTGCGTAGTCTCTTAGAATATGCGGCCCCAATATGGGGCCCGTGTTACAATATTAACATTAATCGTATCGAAGGCATACAGAAGAAATTTGCACGCCACTTGAATTTTAGATTTCGGAAAATTCGTGTTAAATCGACGTACGAGGAAATTTGCCGAGCGCACGACTTGCTTACCCTGGAGGAGCGTCGTGAGGTCCTTGATATGGGTCTGCTGCATGATATCGTTGGTGGTGGCTTTGATTGTCCAGAACTGCTTAAACTAATATTTTATAATACACTTCCTCGTCGTACCAGGTCTTCCAATTTGTTATATGTCCCACATCATTATACTAAATATGGTCAAAATGCTGTGCTTTCTCGTCTACCAAAAATCTATAACGTGAAATTTGGTGAAGCCGATCCTTTTGTTGGTTCAAAAAAACAATTTCTGAATAAAGTGAAACAATTACTATTTAAGAACTTCCAAACAGCAACATCCTCATAATCGTGGGTTTATGATCGTGAATTATAGAACCCTCATATTGTAAACATTAAAAATATGTATATTTCACATATTGTATTATGGTTATTCAGTCCCCACTTAAAATATATAAATATGTATTGTATGTGTATATACCTGAATGTATATATATGTATGTATGTATATATGGGTAAAGAAAAAATATATATATATATATTAGGTTCTTAATGTACACCTATATTTTCCCCTGAGAACAAAACAGATAGGGTCTGTATTATTATAATTTTGGAGTTTTCTTTTCTTTTTTTTTTTTTCACTAAGTTAGCAACTGTCAGCATTTCATATTTTCTTTTGTAACGACGTCTGTTCGTTTTAAAACCTTATTGTAATCTGTGGATAGTCGTAATTGGCTTTCAAATTATATATCATTGATTGTAATTCCAATATACATATAAGCTGTGTACTGTCCCTTAAATAAATAAATAAATAAATAAATAAATAAATATTGACGCAGCTTATCATATTATCTTTGCGATAAGACGCACAGAATCTATATTGCTCATGGAGAAATCCCAGGTCATATCATATAAATCTGAGATTTTCCCAGCGGTGGGCACTTTATGTAGGCTAGTTTTCTCACTCTTTCTCTTCACTATTACTGTCTCAGTTATGCACCAGTTGGTCTGAGTGAGCTTGGCGGCCGATACTCGTATGATTGACATTCCTTATGGAGTAACCCCAGATTATATAGAAATCTGGGGTGTTACCAGCATCAGATCGTCAGCAGCCACTTTCTTTTATAGTTGTTTTATGACTTGGAGTAACCCCAGGTCAAAGCTAGTCTTGGTTTATTAAACATAGTGTATTTTCTGACTTCTTTAAAGAAAACAAAAATGACAATTAACTTTACGTTTAGGTACTACGTTTTGCAATAAGGTGGATTGACTTTGGTGACAGCAAAATGTAGCAATAAATCGAGAATATCATGGGTTAATCGCAGGTCATGTAGAAATCTGAGTTTTCCCACCAGTCCTGATGTTATACAGACTAATTATTATCTGACTCACAGGATCCTGTGCGGCCAGTATCTGCTGTTGTTGCTTCACCAGTTCTGTTTCAGTCTTCACGCGGTTGGTCTCTGTGAGCTTAGCGGCTGATACTCGTAGGATCTCATCGCGGACTGGCGACGGAGGCGCCCTTGCCGCCAGTGACGCAGCGCGGATCTGAATCAGACACATAGAAAAAGTATTGAGTAATTAATTAGTCATCATCATCATTATCACAGACTATTAATGTCCCCACTGCTGGGGCACAGGCCTTCCCTATGAATGGAATAGGGAGTTAGTGGGTGTTAACAACTGCAGATGCAGCCGGAACCAACGGCTTAACGTGCCTTCCGAAGCACGGAGTGACTCGTGATAGTAAATTATTTGGTCACCCATCCAATGACCGATCACTGCGAAAGTTGCTTAACTTCAACGATCGCAGCCGAACGCGCTAACCACTTGCTCCATTGAATTCCTCAGTGGTGACTCAATTAATTAGTGTGGTGGTATATTTATGTATGTCACTATGTAGTGATTTCCTTTGAAAAGATCGAAATTTGGTGGTATCAAAATAATAGGCATTATGTTATTATTATTGTTAGCCCATTATGTTCCCACTGGTGGGGCACAGGTGTTTATGGAATAAGAAAATTGGCCCAAGACCCACTACGCGGGCTCAGTGCGGTTTGGTAGGTGCTAACGTAGATACAGCAAGGAGTATCGGTTTAACGTGCCTTTCAAAGCTTGGCATTTCATAATATTACGGTCACCCATCCACTGACCGGCTATTGCAAAACTTCCACGTTCGCAGATCAAACGACCTCCTCTCCCCCAACAAACAACTTTTTTTGTAACTTCAATAAAAAATACACCTTTTAATGCGAGCTTATCCCACGGAATTATCCAAAACGAAAAAAAAATTAATATCAAAATACTACAATAATGTGATGGAAGTTGACATCAACACATGTCTTCAATTTTTGATGTCATCTTTCAATTGACGACACCGTATGAAACAAAACAGGGAGAAAAAAATAGCCCTTGCTGAGTTTCTAGCCGGTTCTTCTCAGTACAAGGTCTCCCGCCGTAGATTTATGAATCGATGGCGTAGCGTTTGACTTTCACAAGAGCTTGTAACAGCCTAGACTGAATAAATGAGTTTGAGTTTGAGATTACATTATATTAAATCAATCAGTAAAATACTCACTAAAGCCTCCTTTTCCAACTGCAACGCATCTTTTTGTAAATGATTCTTTTTATTTCGATATGGATTCGCCGGTCCAATGGGTCTGTAAATTGAAAAATAAGATAAGATGGAATTAAAAATGTTGCTCGTCATTCATTACATAAGCAAAAGTACAACAGTGATAAATAATAATGAAAATTTCAGGTCACTCCTTTGTGGCCCCAGCACCTCCAGATCTAATCCTATCCTGTTGTAGAGTATTATGTTTCGTAGTAGGCATAGGTTACATCAGGGTGTCCCTAAATATATACTCAAAATATAAAGTTAACTATAAAACTTATTGTAACTATATCTATATTCTAAAAACTGTATTGGAAGGTGACTTCAGAAGTATCTCTGAAGTCATTTTAGTCAAAAAAACAGCCCTTGCTGAGTTTCTTGCCGGTTCTTCTCAGTGCAAGATCTCCAGCCGTAATTTTGCGAACCGCTAGCGTAGCTTCTCTTAACAAGTGCTTGTAACAGCCTAGGCTGAATAAATGATTTTTGAGTTTATTTTTATGCGTCACTAGAAGCGTCGTAAGGCACAACACTTTAGATAGATGAAGAAGAACAAAAAATAGAATTTTGTATGACTCGAGTCCAGTTTATTTAAAATTTAATGAGATAAGAACAAGTTTCTTAAATTTTGGAGCTCAGTTTCTCCCTAATATTGCATCATCAGTACAGCAGAATTGCTTCTATTACTATTTGCGACATCGTACTTGTGCGAAACAGTATTGTGACTCGGCCCTGTCCTTGAAATAACTGCCTACGGCCGAGCGGGGCGTACCCACGCGGTAAGGCTGCCCGCCTACAGTATTTTAATTTCATCTACATAATTGAGTTTCTTTCTAGTTTTGTGATTGTAAATATTTTATTTCATATGTAAAAATAAATGTTGTGAATGAATTAGGAAGTGTTACATAAAATACATGTTATCTGAAGTGTAATATTTGATAAAAATAAATATAGATTTGAGACAGAAAAATATTTACGCCTCGAGCGAGACGACGAAAAGCTTTATTATTAAATTTCATAGTGTAATAAACACGCATTCGTATAAAAAGTTTAATTATTGAAGAGTTCAAGCAACCAAAAACAGCGCAATATCGACTATTGCTCTTTGCCATAATAAATTATGTAGGTATCTACTTAATTCAATCAAATATTCACAATACAAACGTTTAAGCACGGCTAATTGCTTAAAAAACAATTAACACCGTTCGGTCGTCGATGCGGCGCATTCGCGACTGGATGCCCACCGGGTGCCGCGCGAACTCGAGTGGCGTAGGTATGACACGCTTTCCGACCGATTGTATGAAGATAGAATACTGTATAGTTAATATTACGCTGCTTTTATGCAGTTGCAGTAATGAAGGACAAGTACTGATCGAAAATACATGTAGAGAAATAAGATGAGAGTGGCGATTTCCAAAATTGAGCCCCGTTTTGAGAAGCTGTTCAGGATTCTCAATGAATTGGGTCAGGGTATTTAAAAGGGCTACAGTATTTTTTTTTGTATCACAAGCCTCTATAGGCTTTGGTGGCCGTTTACGATCAGGCATGTTATGTTTAGTTTTTGTAACTATAAATGTTTCTTATTAAAATTATAAATGTTATTAGGAGTTTTTCTGATAAATTGTTACTAGCCCAGAACTACAATTGGCAGATACTTTTGACATGATCGTCGCAAAAATGGCAAATACCTGCGGGGTTAAATCACAATGAAAATAAGTTTGGGAAGCCCATAGTTACATCGTACGGGTATCGTATATTGGTCTACGTGCAGAAATAAAGACCGATATAAAGTGCCCACCTTCCAGAATTTGCTAAGTTGATCCTCTGCCCGGTGTTAGGGGGAGCCACTTGTGGTACATTGTTCGTGCTGGCGTATTCTCCCACATTCTGAGAGTGACCTGGAATGATAAAAAGACATTTATCACTATAGATCAAATTTATTTGAACGCTTCACAACATCAAATAAATCTGGAGCCAGAACAATATTTAAATCAATGTTTATTTGCAAGAGTCATTGTCGCACCACGAAATGAAATCATAGGCATTATCAACACTGAGCCTTTGAAAGAGTTGCGTTCGCCAATAGCAATAGCAGTGTCCTAAAAAAATTACCAATCGCATTGCTCAAAATACACATCGCTCCTCCGCTCCGCTTCAGTGGGATAAGTATTTAATAAATTTGAAAAGAATAACATGAAAATTTATATCGCACGGAGTAAAGTTGAGCTGAGCGTGGCTGCATTATTCGCACTGCAAATAAAACGCAGCTCCGCTCAGCTCATCTTCAATTTGCTTAACTCCGCGCATCTGTACATCGCACAGCTTCGTTTAGTTCGCTCGGCTCAGATTCGCACAGCTTCAATGGAAACACTCGCCCATTTACACGGCTTCGCTCTGCTTAATCCCGTACAGCTAAGCATTTGGTGAAATGCAACGTAAATGTGTAAATCTGGCAATATTTACGTACGTAAAACAAAAGTTCATATCCTGCTGTTTCTAAATTTTCTTGACCTATCGTTTATTACTCTCGCATAAACTGCAATTGAAATTAAAAGCACCAGTTATATTATGCGAAATATATACTACGTAATGAGAAGGTATACAACATACCTAGGACATAACAGCATCCGTATATAATGCTCTATTTTGTATCAACCAACTTTAAGAAAAGGTAATGAGAGATGTTAAAAAAATAGTTTTCAGTTCCGGGCGAGGCAGAACATTACAGAACCATGAATGTACGGTTATTTTTTTCTTTTTGCAAGTACAATATCTCCTCCTGCCGACGGAGCCAATTGACTAACAATCAGAATTGGTTGACAAGATCGACTTTAACGCGAGCGAAGCAGCGGGCAAAAGCTAGTAGATTTTTTTTATATTATAGGTAGCATACGAGCTCATAGCTTGCAACATCAGGAGTATCACAAATGTGCTTTTAAAGAAGGAGTACGCAATTTTTTTTGAAGGTTTTCGGGTCGAGTTGTTCCTGTAATGCTGCCGGTGGCAATGTATTCTACAGTTTTGACGTAAGTAGTAAAAAAAAACATCAAAATCGCAAGCTTGTGGACAGCCTCGCATTGCACATTAAGATGATGTGGATAAAATTTTTCTCGCGATGTACAGTAGCGAAAAGCAGCAGCTGGGAGCAATCCGAACAATGCCTCTGAACACCCCCTGTGGTAAATGCGATAGAAGATGCAGAGCGAAGTTACTTCTCTACGCAAAGCCAAAGGATCGAACTTATTGTCAGAAAGGTTCTGGTCGTCTACAATTCGAGCTGCTCGGCGCTGGATGCGATCCAGGGGGAGTAGCTGGTACTGGGGTGTCCAAAGATAAGATCAGTACGACATGTTTTTTTTTGAGTGTATATGCTGTTGTTTTCATGTGACCTTTACAGCATCACCGGGTTTGGGGACGGCGAGATCCTAAGGGGACCTTAAGCCGAGAATTGGCGAGTGCCTCTAGAGGCATTCCAGGCGGATTGCATCTCCCCACTGGGGGAGTCTCCTGTCCGTCTGGAGCCTCTAGACCACTTGAACCTGAGAGGGTTGTACTCCATGTGAGGTCAAACCTGTGCTATATGAAGTTGCAGTCGGTGGGCCGGTGAAAAGTACCTTCTCGATCTATTGAGCACACCAAGCTTCTTAGAGGCTTATTTACCTGGTGGCATGGCGAGGCCCCACGCGTTTATGTCATTAGCGTCATTGATGTCGGGTTTAAAGTTGGCGATTGCGTTTCTGTGTATACCGGATATTCCAGATGCAACGTACCTGTGGACACACAAATTATGTAATCAAGAGCCTATATTTAGATTATAGATTCGTCCAGGTTATGTGACAATTTTAATATGATTTTCGCGACACGCGACATCGTTCGCGTTCATTTTTGTTTTTTTTTTGAAAATCCTAAAGAATCCTAACATTAAACCAGTATGCATCATGTGATACTTATTGTTCCCTATAATCAACATCAATATACAGTACAATTTATAATATTACTAATCTACTAAAGGTACATTATTTACTAACGAAATGATTAAAATTTGTTCATCTTACTCATTGCCAAGCCCAGGACCAGACAGCTCCCAATCCTGAGGGTAGTGGTCAAACGATGGCGGAGGTCCTTCAGCATGTGGTCTCACGACTACAGAAGAAGATGGGTGACCGTACGAATGTTGAGGCTGAAAGCAAAGAATGGAATTTGAAGAGACATGTATATCAAAGTAACTTTGATTATTTACTCCCTAGATAGAGCGTCACCTTATCAACATTGCGATAAAAACAGACCAGGTTTTTTATACTTGTGTGCGTGACACGCAAAACAAAACAGGTGAATGTATCTTACACTCGCAAAATGTCATTCTTTGTGTCTCGGTGCGCATGTGCGCACGCTGATTGGTTGGTAACAGCTTAGGCCAAATTCCCCAAAAGAATGGGTAAATTTAATCAAATGAAAATTAGTATATTGTTCACAAAATCAAAAATCTTAGACGTTGAAAAAAAATAAGGTAATTGACGTACGTGTCGCTCAGCGTTGCAATGAACACTAAGTGACGGGAAACAACTGAAACCCTACCAGGTGGGAGATATTTTTTTCAACGCATCTGCGCTGTCACGCTCTATCTAGGGATAAAATAATGAAAGCAAAATACATATTCTCGTAGGCTGTCTATAGACTATTGTTATTATTATTGGCTTTCTGTATCCTTAGTACGCGTTTTACAATTACGAAAACTATGATAGGTTTCGTGAGCTCGCAATCGTACTAAGGGTACTGATTTTATTGTTTTCGTTTCAATACAAATAAACAGTGTTAAAATTCTAACATGAAATCGTTAGCGTCTTCTTAAATTTTAAGGATATTTGGTTACTTTTCACCAAAATGGACATAGAAACATAATTTACCATTACGAATACTATGATAGTTTTTCTGAGCTCAAACTCGTACTAAGGGTATTGATGTCCCTGGTATAAGTAATCTGCTAACGAAATCAACAGAATGGTGACCAATGGTTTAATGGTCCTTTTGAAGGACGGGCAAGTTCGAGATATTTAATTTTAATTTAGGCTTCCTGTGATAAAATCCATTCCAAGATCAATATTCCACGATCGCAGACTGAATATGCTAACCAATATTCTATTAGGCTCCTGCAAAAAACTTAATGGTTACAGTATGCAATATTTAATTAGGTACCTTATGATGGTGTGTGATCAAATGGTGATGATGGTGGTATTTCGTGGTGTGATAGTTCTGGTGGTACCAGGAGCACAGCTTGAATATATGGCTCAGAGCGGGGAACAAGAACAGAAGGAATTTCAGGAACATCTTCTTGGCTGTGGTGACTCCCATGATGAGGGGCAGGACGAAGACTAGCTTCAACGCTATAAGTTTGATCACGAGGATAATAGCTATGGCTGCGGTGAGGAGCTTCTTTCTAACGTACTTTTCTGGAACGCACAAAGACAACAAAAAATGGATGCGTGTAACTTATGTACGCGCGTGAGAAGTTATACTTCTTTAGCGTCACTAAAAATATTTTTTAATTGCATGCTAATAATTAATAATTACAATAAAATAATAAAAGGACTGCAAAAGGATAGTTAACACAGTCAATTAAGTTCAGTTTTAATTTGAAAAATTAAATAAATATTCAAAATATTCAATTAAAATCACTACTGAATTTAAGTTATTAGTCCATATGTAATTAGCACTTGTAAGTAACTAAAACACTTTGTGTCTATATAGAAACTAGAAACATGTGGATAAATATTATAAATATGAAAACAGTGATCAGAGGCGACGAGCGTGCCAACATTGTTTTTGACAACGCGATCATCTTATGTAGCTCCGTGGATCGTTCAAAGTACCTTTCGAACAGATGTCTAATAATGGTGGATTATTAACCACTAAGGATTACTAACATTCATAACGCTCCCGCGGCCAACTTCATTATGTTACTTTTGTGTTACAGTGATGCGCGCGCATCTTAAAATTTCACTCTCATATTTTTTTCATAACGAGGCTAAAGAAGTATAACTTTATAAAGTGCCATTTGTTAGCATCTGTGTTTAGAGTGAATATTGGCAGGGATTTTCACTATTTTTAGAGAAAAAATATTCATAATTTTACTAAAAATACCATGAAAAAGATAATAGTTTTCTTATCTATTGTCACGTGACTCAAAACGCTTGGGATTTCCGGAGCCTAAAATGACGTCACACGCAAGTAAACTTCCGGTTAAAGTGACATTACATTGTATCGTTTGACGTTTTAATGACAGTCGTGTGACGTGGAACATGGACAATATGGCGTCTCACTGGTATGTGACGTCACACACCAGTGAGACGCCATATTGTCCAGAGAAACGTTTTCGCGGCAACTTGAAAATGGAGTTTTTGATTTGTTTATTTTTACCGAAATACACAACAGAATGATAAATATCCACTTTTTACGGACTCCATAAACAGTAGTCAATAACGTGAGATCGTTTTCTAAAACTTGTCAAATACCCTATTAGGATCTACCCTGTGGGTAGTGATATGAGAATGTTCCATTGACTACTCACTTATTTTATGAAAGAACAGCCGCCCTTGTCCGACACTGGTGTCTGCTCTCGGCTCCAAGTCTATATGGACCAATGCTCCAGTCTTCGTCAGCGCCCGCGGAGATACCTTCAGTGTCGCACCTTCGAAGAAGAACTCCGGTAGGGTTAGTTTCATGTCATGGGTAACCAGGAACTTGATTCCTTTGTCGTACAAAGCATCGGTCACTTCTTCAAATGGTGATTCTGAAAGGAAATAATTCAAAATTCAATATCGTTTATTCAGTCTAGGCTGTTACAAGCACTTGTGAATGTCGAAAAGCTACTTTGAGACCTTGTACTGAGAAGAACCGGCACGAAACTCAGAAAGGGCTGTTTTTTTCTCCTCATCTTATATACAGAGTAGTCAAATTAAAAAATGACTTCAATATGAGATAGTTCATGAATTCACTTTCCATTACAAATATAAATTATATAAAAAATATGACTACAACAAAAAAATATATAAAAAACTGATTCAACAAAGTTTAGGAATACCATGTCCTACTGTTTAGGCATAAAAAAATGTACCATTAAAGTGAAATACAACGATTAATAGTACCCAACGTGGCAAGAGCAGACTCATCTCCGCTGGCAGCACCCGTTCACAAGCCAGCCATCGCTTCGCTCAACCATAGTTTAGGGAACGCAACGCAAACGCAAATAATGTATAATTAACAAGTGTTCTACAAAATGACGTGTTGACGAGATGGTTTTCTGCCAGTTCTACGTCTGGGAGTCAGTTAGGTACAGGGCACTATAGAGGTTACTTAAGGACACGGGCGCTAGAGCAGCTAGAAATTGTCTCGTTACAAACGCCCTAAATGTCATATGAGTTTTTGTATAAGCCAGGTGATATCCTGAATTGAAAGTACCTAGGTGTCACTGTAATTTTTAAATTGGCATGATAATTTTGGTCAAATTCTTTAAATCTGAAAAAACATTTTCATGATGATAATTGTCTCGTTACAAACGCCCTAAATGTCATGTGAGTTTTTGTATAAGCCAGGTGATATCATGAATTGAAAGTAGGTGTCACTGTAATTTTAAATTGGCATGATAATTCTGGTCAAATTCTTTAAATCTGAAAAAACATTGATAATGATAATTAGTGCAATTTTTTGAAGGTCAGAAACCATATGAAATAGTCATTGTCCATCAAAAGGTAAACCATAGTCTATTTGATTTTATTATACAGTCAAATTGAATTATGGTGAATTTAATTCCTCCTGATAAGTATATATTTACGGCATAGAACAAATAATCAAGCAAAAATTGAACAGTCACTTTATTTAATCTTCAATGTGTTCATGTTCAATCTCTTATTTCACTCGTTTTCCCTACCGGTATTAAGATTATTCCACTTTTCCTGCAACTTTGTCTGTCTGTATTGTTCGTTCAATACTTTCATAGATATGAGATCGCACGTTCCAGATTTGTGTCGTTATCATACGCAATATTGATTTCACCTTTCCAATGATTCGTCTTCCTTGTGTTGTAAAAAACAGATGTGAACAAAATAGAGCATAGTTAACTGACAAGAACAGTATGTATGCAATATATTGTTTTAAACTTTCATGAGCACTAACATTATAGTAATATAAGTTATTTACGGGATTGTTACCATGCACCTTGTTTTTAGCGAGTTTCCGATATTTCAGTATTTTTTCGGCGAATTTTCGGTTACTCCGTGATCATGGCGCTTGAAACAGTGCCGAAATATCGGAAACTCACTAAAAACAAGGTAACAATTTTGATGACCTCCGTGGTCGAGTGGTTCGTATGCCGGGTTTCATGGTGTCGCCGACTCGAGAGGTCCCGGGTTCGAATCCCGGTGGGGGCAGATGTTTGTGTGATGAATACGAGCATTTGTACTCCAGTCATGGATGTTTAATATGTATCTCTATATAAATATACTTATATCTGTACAGTATATGTTTTCTATCCGTTACCTTAGCGTCCCATAACACAAACTACAGTGCTTACTTTAGGGCTAACTAATTGGTGTGAGTGTTGGAAAGATTTATTTATTTAATCCCGTAAATAACTTATATTACTAGTTTATATGCATCTGAAAACTATTAACCTAATACTAAGAGCGATTAATATAGAAGAAAATACTAAAATTATAGAATTTTAATGCTTAAATCGCATTTTAAACTAAATCTGATGCTAAATGTTGTGATAGGACAAGAATTAAATACGGTGTAATTGATCGGGCCCAATAAAGTAAAGGTGATCGTCATACATTACACGTGATTTTTTCGACTTGTTTTCCTCGAACTAGTTTTAAATAGCGAATTCTCAGTTTACGAATCTAACTCGGATTCGTAAATATTTTTCTTATATTTGCTTCTTAGGTTTTCAGCACATCACCCGATAATGTCGGCATAAATATTTTTTAATAAAGAAAAAATAAATATTCCGATGACGCATTCCTGCAAAGGATGTGAAACGTCAGTAAATAAATAAAAATAGTGCATCTAACCCATTGAAACCTGTTTTATTATTTTTTCTTATAAATATTATCAAGTATACCCACGCGTGGATAGACAGCCAACTTTGTCTGCGGGATTGGAATACTGAGTTGGGTTATTGACTATGCCAAAGTGAGTTTAGTATCACTCTCGCCATAGTCACGTCACGGTTGCATAGTGAGAACTAAGGGTAATCATATCTCACTTTACCATTGTTATGTTAGATTGACAGGTGGAAAGAGGAAGTTGCACTGCGCTTATAAAAACCTTTTTTTTTACCTTACACTATAGAAAACCGTTTGCATAAAATTAATTAGGATAGCAGTATCAGAGAACGTCATCTATATATATAAAACTCAAAGGTGACTGACTGACATAGTGATCTATCAACGCACAGCCCAAACCACTGGACGGATCGGGCTGAAATTTGGCATGCAGGTAGATGTTATGACGTAGGCATCCGCTAAGAAAGGATTTTGATCAATTCTACCCCCAAGGGGATAAAATAGGGAATAAAAGTTTGTATGAAACTTTGTCAATTTTATACCGATCGGGCTGATACTTTGCATGCAGATATAAGAAGAATATATAGATGAATGTCATTGTGTATAATACAAGCCTGAGAACAAAAACTGTAGTCTACACTTCAGCTCTACACCGAAGCGAAGCGAGGGCGGGCCGCTAGTCGTCTAGTATATATAGAAATGTAATCAGAATATATTGTTTTAAGCTCTCATGGTCACTAACATTATAGATATTTAACGGGATTGTTACCATGTACCTTGTTTTTTATGAGTCTGCGATATTTCGGCACTGTAGCAGTAACTATTACTCCGTGATCATGAGCTCTATTTTACATAAGTCACTTTCGACTTTCAAGTCGCATAATACTGATTTTCCGTATTTTTGAATCACTCGTCACCAGTGTTACCTGTTTGATACGAAATACGAAATTTTACTTATTTCACGCAGAAAAAATAAAAACCGAACAAAAAATTCTCGTTGTTGTTTCATATAAAGCATGACAATGATAGATTATCGTCGTCTAATAGCACAAATAATTTGACTATTATTCTATCATTCGCCTCCACCGTTCGCCATGCAGCGAGTGGTCTCACCCATTCGTTGTACTCGAGCGATTCAAAAATACGGAATTAATTATGTCGAATGAAATTTAGTAGAAATCGAGCGTTCGACGCAAGACGAGTGATTCAAAAATAGAGCTCCATGGCACTTGCAACAGTGCCGAAATATCGGAGACTCATAAAAAACAAGGTACATGGTAATAATCCCGTTAACATCTAGAATGAAATCAGAATGTTCGGAACTCTTCCGAAGCAGGTGTTTCGTCCTTATACAAGTTGAAACGTTATTTCAGAAGGAGTAAGAGTTATTTTTGTCTAATAAAGCCTTAGCTTGTTATTCACTTTCACCTAATATATTCGTGCGTTGTAATAAGAGGTGTCGTCAGTAATTCATAAGACTACAATGCGCCAGACACTGATAATAAATTTTGTTACGGCTTTTGATGTAAGTACAAGAATCATTATCATAAATTATCAATAGAACTCGATGGCGCTAGTGGTTAGCGCGTTCGGCTGCGATCGTTGAAGTTAAGCAACTTTCGCATTGGTCGGTCATTGGATGGGTGACCAAATATTTACTATCTTGAGCTTCTCCGTGCTTTGGAAGGCTAGCGTCGTGGTATAGACGATAAAATGCGCTTAATGATGCCACATCGCGATGTAATTGTAGAGTAGTAGACTTTAATTACCAGAGTAGCATTCGCACGTAACTTATTCTTACAACTTCCTACATTGCCTTTTTTTATTACACAGGCAAAACCTCTGTTTACAGACGTTGGCGCCCTTAAGAGGGAAGGCGCGCTTAACAATGTTTTTTCTATACAAACTTTCTCGACTGATTTCTCCTTGAATTTTATCATTTTCATACTTTAAAATATAATTTTACTCATTCTATGCTCCTTTGTTTTTCTCTTTTAGATAACATATCTTTCAAAGAAACTAGAAGCCCTTGAAGAAGGTCAAAAATACACAATTTTTTATCTTTAAAGACGTCTAGTGTGGAGATTGAATAATCATTTACAAAGAAACCAATACAAAGAGCCATAGTATAACTAACCATTCTTTTTGAAGTTATACTTCTTTAGGCGCGTTATGAAAAAATTATGAGAGTGAAATTTTAAGATGCGCGCGCATCACTGTAACACAAAATTTTAACATAATGAAGTTGGTCAACTTCATGCGTTACTTTTGTGTTTACCGCACATTAAGAAAATCTACCAACAAAATAGAAATAGAATCTCTATTTAGTGGGTGCTAACGACTGCATTGTGAAGGCCTATCAAAAGTATTTATTAATCTGGAACAACGGAACCAAAGCGCGATTCAGGAGACTACAGCGCCATCTCTTGACCATTGGTGTAGTAGAACCAAAAACCACATCTTTATTTTTTGTAATAAAGTAATAAAAAGTATTTATTAATCTGGAACAACGGAACCAAAGCGCGATTCAGGAGACTACAGCGCCATCTCTTGACCATTGGTGTAGTAGAACCAAAAACCACATCTTTATTTTTTGTAATAAAGTAACAGTTATAGGTATTCATATTTATAATATTTATCCACATGTTTCTAGTTTGTATATTCGGAATACGTGTTTGAGTTTCATACAAGTGCAAATTACATATGTTCTAATCAATTATATTCAGTAGCGATTTTAATTGAATATTTTGATTATTTATTTATTTTTTCAAATTAAAACTGAACTTTATTGACTTCGTCCTTTCCAGACTTTTTATTAATTTATTGTAATTAATTATTTGCATGCAATTAAAAACTAATTTTAAACGATGCCAAAGAAGGATAACTTCTCACGCGCCTACATAAGTACACGCACCCATTTTTTTGTGTAAAATCTCTTTTACATACTCATATATCTAATTTCCGAGGAGGAAATCATCGAGAGCCAAAACTCTAATTTTCCAATTTTTATACGTAATTTTCAGCGTTAATTGCTGTTGTCCCTATCACACGGTATTTGCCAATACGTGATAGCAATAGTTTTTTCAAAAACCTATTTCTCTAAGGTCTCTCAGCTGCAGGGGCACACCAACGAACGGACCTCACACTATCTGCTAAAAATCCTGCGAATACCCTCTAGGCTGTTAAGTGCAAAACTCAAGTGCGGACCTGCATGGAATATTGCTCGCACCTCTGGGATGGCTCCGCCAAGTACTTGCTCGATGCTTTGGATAGGTTACAGCGGCGCGCGATCCGCATCATAGGCGATGAGGAGGTGACTAAACACCTCGAGCCTCTTCAATTACGCCGTGACGTGGCGTCACTAAGCGCGTTCTATTGTCTGTACCACGGCGAGTATTCTGAGGAGTTATTCTTTCTTATTCCACCTTCGCCTTTCCTTTAGAGGATCACGCGCGCTGGTCTACGTTGTCACCGTCTAACTGTGGCCACAATTCCAAAGCGTACAAAGAAATTTTGTGACTCATTTCTTTGTCGTACTATCCGTAAATGGAATGCTCACGTGTTCCCTCCCTCTCACAACCTGGGATCCTTTAAAAGAGGCGTGAAAAAGCAACATGCAGGCCAGCAGAGTGAGGATGGCTGGTGTGGCAGGTAGAACTGCTGTATCAGGTGTCTTCGCTTCTGGACTTCACCTTCACTTAACATCAGGTGGGGTGGAGTCATTTGTCGGTCTTATCTATATAAAAAAAGTGTGGACCCGCGACATATACACATACACACTTCACATGCACGCACGCATACACACACATACTTAAACTATACATAACTATACACTATAATGTAATCTCACTCATAAGATGTATAACATTGTTTCCTAGAGGTCAAGAACTGCACAATATTTAGTATAGAACGTGGTTTTATTCAGAATTGAAAGTTTCGGATTAGTCTAAACAAAACATAAAATTTACGGATACAAATGACCTATAATGTTATTAACGGATACAATGGAAAAGGATTCGTTAGACATTCGGACGGACGGATAGTAATTAGATTTCATACGGGCTATAATACAGAATCAATGAATTTCACAACTTTCACATTTAAAATGCGTTCCCAAATAATACATAGTTGTTGTAATGCCAAGTGAATATATGTTTCCATTTGGCATAATGACAAGTTTTTAAATAAAATGCTAAAGCCTATTAAAATATTACGAAGTACTAAAAATTAATTATGTGTTTAGTTGGCAATTGCAATTAATAATATTTATGAGTAACTTCTTCAATAAAACACAAATAATACAAAATTTATAGTGTTAAGACAAACTAATAAATAAAATTTACACAAATACTTATTTAAGAAGAAAGTTGTTTTGTCAACTCTCATAATTAATTTTAGCTGTCATTTATAGTAATTAACTATTATAGACTAGTGGCCCGCCCTCGCTTCGCTTCGGTGTAGAGCTGTAGTGTAAACTATAGTTTTTGTTCTCAGGCTTGTGCTATAAAGAATGACTTTATTTATATAATTACACGTGTTATTGTGAGTCAACCATAAAAGATAGACGTATGCTGTTGCGGGATATTTTTTAGACAATTTTATGTAGAATATTTCCGTCATACATGATTTCTATGTAACTTTAACCATTAAGGCTGCACCCGAGACGAAAGCTTAAAAAATAGAGTAACTACTCCCGTTTTCCCAACATTTCCCTTCACTACTCTGCTGCTATTGATTGTAGCGTGATGAAAAGTATACTATAACCTGCCCAGGAGTATGAAGAATAATTGTACCAAGTTTCGTTAAAATCCGTTCAGTAGTTTTTGTTTCTATAACGTATTGTGTATGTTACACACAGACAGACAAAAATTTTACTGATTGAATTTTTGGCATCAGTATCGATCACTAATGACCCCCTGATAATTATTTTAAAAATATATTTCATGTACAGAATTGACATCTCTACAGATTTATTATAAGTATAGATATGTGGGTAGCTAAATACCACGGGTGTTAAAAATCCGTTCCCAAATTTAATATGGTTATTGTAAAATACATTACGTATTTTTAAGAGCAGGGTTTGTATGAAAGAAATTTCTTAAAAGGCATATAATACATACTTCAGAAATCATCGGAAAATTTGGTATACGATTTCCGTTTTTGTATTGAAATCTCATCACTTCCTAATTCTTCATATAAATAAATTATTAAATTCTAATGGAGTACGAACTTCTATTTGCTAACTACATGTCAATTAAAAAAACAATAAATGTATATAAAAATTTGATATGACGTCGTCGCTCCAAATTACAAAACATTTTTTTTTATATTCAGGTAGGCAAATGACTCTACCCCACCTGATGTTAAGTGATGATAAAGTCCAAACGCGAAGAGAGCTGGTACTGCAGTTATAAACTGCTACATCAACCATCCTCACCTTGCCGGCCTGCAGAAATGCTTCTTCACGCCTCTTTTAAAGGACCCCAGATTGTAGGAAGGAGGGAACACGTGCACGGGCAAAGAAATCCATATACATTGCGATTTCCTGTCGCTATTTCGACATAACATTACTTTTTATTCCAACAACCTTTCGAAAATATTAACACGCTTGTTACGCACATAAAAACGGTAGACAATATATGGCAAATGGATTGTATGTAGGCCTATGTAAGTAGACCACTTTGACACTATTGACCCGAAGTGCGGTGGCATAAAATGCAAAAACTACCGATGTTGACTCGGGAATTGTTAGAAATTTCTCAATAGCGAAAATTTAATAAAAATCACTTAAGTAAAATCAATCAGGTTCCCAGAATTTGCTGTTATTGTTGATTTGAAACTTGAATTACGAATATATGTATTCAGTTACATATATATAAAATATGTACTTGACTGTTCGTTAGATTAAGAAAAGTAAAATATATATAGGTATAAACGTATGTACTCATATCTCAAGACCCCACATTATAGGTTCCATTCAGTCGACTGACCAAACTTTCCAGTCATCAAATATAATAAACTTTGATGTTTAGAAATATGTTTGCCGCTTCTTATTAATTTTCTTTTTATCATAACTAGTTTCCGCCATCTGCCGCCGTATGACATAGTGATTGTGTATTTCTATACGAATTTTGCTATTTAAAGTGAAATAGATGCTTTAGAGAACTCACCTGCCCATTTCATGGTGAGCTCAGAAACCAGCTAGAATATAGCTTGGAAATTAAATTATTTTCACCACAAAGAAAATTAACTAACTAACTAACCAAACGATTAAAATAACCGCAGATGAAATTGTCAAACAAATGAGCAGCGGCTACCGTTTTAACAATGTCGCGGATAGGAACAAATTGTCAGTGAAACTTGCTCAGGAGTCAACTCGGTGAATCTTAAGGCCTTTGAAGGCTGGTGTGAGATGTTGACCACAGATTTCTATGGCCACGGATATGTGACATGAAAGTCGAAGTATGTTGCATTGTTTGCAGGTGCTAATGTATGACCGACTCACCGAGTTTCACCTCGGCAAAGTCAAATATGAATAGTAATTAGGGCACTACACTATTGCTTAAATGGGAATCGTTATATGCGAAAATTGTGCTAAAAATTTAAATTCGTAGAGAAGATTTTATAATTGGTTGGTTAAGATTTTTGATCAAAACAATCGCAATTTTGTAACTTTTGTTTAAAACTAGTTCATTGCTAAGCAAAAAAAAATGACAGAATTATTATAACATAATCACAAACCAAAATTTTTATGTTCGCTTTATTAAATAAACGATTTAGCATTTTCTTGTTTTAAATAACACACATCGTTAATTATATTCATTTTGATATAGGTATCAATTTCAAAAATTAAAAAAGTAACGCAATTAGGTTCTCATAGCTGGAATCCGGATATAGCCGCGAGATCGTCCGGTTTTGCTTCTTGTTTTATGTTAAAACTCGGAACCTACTTTAAAACTGGAACGTATTTGAAAGAAACCATTGCTGAGGCCCTGCCAACTATTTTACGATCATAAGAACAACTTTGAAATAAACAACTCACCTGGTTCTTCCTCATCGTCGATTTCGTTCTCTTCATCCAAATATCGACCTTCTGAACTCTTATCATGACTCCCGCTGAGGTAGATGATGTTAGCTTCCTTACTGTATTTACTCACATCGACGTTATTCTTCTTAAAACACACACCGTGCCCCAAATAAATGTCACCATTGTACTTCAAACTATCGTCCAAGTAACTATAAACGTTTTTTTGCAAACAGCCAACGGACATTCGACCTGTACACTTATTCAAAATATTGTCCCACAACAAATTGCCAGTTCTGAACGTACCATTCTCGTAAACGTCACTAAAAAATCTACCCGTTACACTTTCGATCACTCTCATGCGTTTTGCTATATCTTGTTTAAGTGTTTCTGCTTCATGACTATTGGTTTTATTCTCTTTACATTCACTTATATTTACACTAAAAACTACGAATAGAACTAAGGACACTTTCGCTACATTTGAAACACTTGGGTGGCTATATCTCTTTTTGTTCGATGTTTTTTCTGTGTTGTTTGTTGCACAGCCCATGTCACGGTGTGGTTTGGCCATCTTCAAGGCATAACTGGTTGGAACGCTGATACTGTTCATGTGTACCTCAGTTCGAACAAAAGGTATTTATGTTGTTACTAGGAGTGTTCACCCGTACAGTCAATTCCATTCTTGCCGAGTCAAAAGTGAGTGATTTCCGAAAGTATCACTTGTAATTTATGAAGGTTCGTTTCGCATGTGACAGGATGGAGATTTTCGCAGATTTGTCATCCAAATCCAACCTAATTTGTCATCTGAAACAAAGAGAAAACTAAATTAGCAACTGACAGTGCATGGCAAATAACACGCCAATTCTTAGGTAAAATGAGTCTTCAAAGAAAATTATTCAAGATTCCTAAGAGTATTTTTTTTCAACTCGACGGAATAGTACAATCACCTCTATCTTTTCTTGATTCCAAATTGCAGTGGAATTTTTACATGAATTTTAACACTATCAATAAAAATTGTTTTGATCGCACGAATAAAAACAGTCTAGCTTTCTCCTTTAATAAATTTCTTCTGCGTGCTTTAGACCACGAATACTGCATTATCAAATGATTAATTATTCCTTGAAAGTTAAACTTAAGTGTCTGTTATGAATAATCCACAGCAGTCCGTGAATAAACATTATTATGTCAAATTTTGGGCAATTTATTCTACCTAATTTCTTATGACCCACTGCCGCTATGGTGCGTCATTAATAGTACAATCACACCTAACTGTTTTAATTGCCTACCTACCGAAATAATGGTATTGTTACTGTTAGTACTTTTATAAAAATATTTACTTAGTTAAAGAAAGTAAATACATCAGTAATAATTTGTAGTATAAGATTTCAAATAAAACCTTGTTTTGTAAAACCAACTTCATAAATAACACAACTAAAAATATCAAAATTAATACATATATTTTAGTCAAATCTAAAGTTAATTTCCAGTTAAATAAACACTTAAAGTTGATGCCAATCCATGCAGTAAATTATAACTCCGATCTATCAGGCATACGTGATTGCCGACAAACGCAACAAAAATTGTACAACATTAATATATATTGGTTTAAACTTTCATGGTCACTAACATTATAGTAATATAAGTTATTTACAGGATTGTTACCATCAGTTACTACGTGATCATTTCGCTTGCAACAGTGCCAAAATATCGGAAACTCACTAAAAATATGGTAAATGGTAACAATCCCGTAAATAACTTCTATTACTATAAGATTAATATAATTTAGTCACAGTAGGTACTCAGACAAAATTGTGCTCTTAATAGAATAAAAAATATAATCAATGACGTTAGGAGCAGTTCCACAGTTAAAATGAGTAAATAAATCTTTGAAATGGAAACTCGAGGCATGTATACGGATGCTTTGCTACAAAGTTATCGAATGCATCAGAAAAGTTTTTCACACCAACGAAACTTTTAGAAATTCCACATTCGATCGCACAAGTCGTCAAATAAATAATTTGAATTCTTGCGCGGGTACCTGATCATTCGTGTCGCGTACTACAAGAAAGTAGCGAAGTATTTTCAATGAAAAAAATCGCGTGACCATGCATCAGTATTAGCACTAATGTTTACGGGATCTTATTAAAGATGCTTATTGCGATATTATGCACGAAAGATCGAATCATGCTGAGCATACAGACTGATGTTGAAAACGAAATAGCACTTTCTCCATCCAAAGTTTAAGCTAAATTCAATGTCAATGACGCTTAAAAGTTCGAAACGTTCGGAACTGGTTTAGCATACATTCGTTTAATGATGGACAAAATAAATAACATGAAAGTTAATTTAAATAGAGCTGAGAATTGTACTACTTTATAGAAAAATAACGTTGTTAATGTGTTTTTGACTGATAATTCTAATTAATTATGTTTTAAATTAATGAACTTTCTCTGGTCATGAGAAATTCTTAGGAATTTTGAAAATGGCACTTCGAATCTAGGCAATATATAAGACGATTTTTATTCCTTATGTTTTCACGCACTCCAATCACTCTTGGAGCAAAGGTCCTTTTTGGCCGGTAAGGCAGACGGGGGCTAGGCAAAAAAAATATTGAGATATTGCCATCACAACATAGCAAGGCAGCTGGGTTTGTAGCTAGATGAGCGGCTACTGACGGCGGTGGCTGTGGACTTGTTTGAAGTTTTGTTTAAGAGCGGATGCGAGCTGAGTGGCATTTGAGAAATAGGTATATGAAAAAAATATTGCTGTGATGCTTTGGAAAATACCGTGTTTTCACGCACTCCAATCACTCTTGGAGCAAAGGTCCTTTTTGGCCGGTAAGGCAGACGGGGGCTAGGCAAAAAAAAAATGAGATATTGTCTTCACAACCTAGCGAGGCAGCTGGGTTTGTAGCTAGATGAGCGGCCACTGACGACGCGGTGGCTGCGGACTTGTTTGAGGTTTTGTTTAAGAGCGGCGGATGCTGGCTGGCGTGCCATTTGTAAAATAGGTATTTGAAAAAAATATAATTGTCATGCTTTGGCAAATATCGTGCGATAGGTACAACAATAGTTAACACTGAAGTATGCGTATAAAAATAGTAGTTTTTAGTGAAAACTTCTTTAGCGGCGTTGTACACTTTTTTTTGTAATGGGTAAAAACTGTTATACTCGCGTTAGGATACGTGGCCTGATCGCGTCAGCCCCGACGTCTTGATTAGGTCACGCCCACGTGACCTAATCGAAAATTCATAAGACGAAAACAGTAAAATTGGAAAGGTTGTTGACTTTCAATATATTGGACGAAACATAGTAAAATTTTATGTTATCGTATTATAATAAGTTTCTAATTAGGACGTCCAGGTGTCTGCTTTATTGCGAAGAAAATGCATTTTTTACAATAGATGTCGCTAGGTGCGCTGAAATGTGATTCATGTAAGTTGATTTTTCTGAGAGATAAACTTATAATACATAAAAAATAATAAATAAATATTGTATTCTACCACATAAATGATCGTACTTTTATACTGATAATTAAAGCAATTCGTGCAAATTATTCCCTAACCATTCCAGAATATCATAATTTTTTTGGAACGGAATTCCAAAAATTACGCTTTTTTTCGCCTATGTCCGTAGCGTAGGATAAGCAACTTCATTCCAAAAAGGTTCTATAACTTCCCTTTTTTATGAAATGACTGCTAAGCTATTTAACCACGATTTCAATTTCTTTAATTTGGTTTTAATTAATCGAGTGTAGGGCAGTCTGGTGTATCCTGCTTGCGAGACTAGCACAGGTAAAACAGGTTGTAAACTTGTTGCTGCAAAATTACACTGACATAATTACGCAGAAGCTGAATAACCTCATAATATGTTATACGTCAATGAAGTTACTTGATTAGTTGAAGTGAAATAAAGGAATATTTGTATTTTTAATTTTTTAAGCATGTAACTGCTTGATTTGCTTTTCTTTAGATTTAAAAATCAAGCAGTTACATGCTTAAAAAATTAAAATTACAACTATAATTGCTATTTCTCTTTCAAATGTTTAATACTTGTAAAAGTATTCATTTGACGTTGTGGGTTACCTACAATCTACAATGCGAAGAAATGGCTCTGCCTTGCAGCTTAAGAATGGCTAGAAGAATTTCGACGTGGTCCGTGAGGGCCGCGGTAGCATAATTGGTCAGTGCATTCACCTGGATTGCAAAGGTTTCGCCTGGATTCGAGTCCCGTCTGCTGCCTGGTCCGCGTGGATTTTTTTCTAGTAATATTTTTTTTAGATAAAGGAATATTTTTAATATTTCTAAAAAATCAATTTCATTTAACTTTAACTTCTGAAGTTTTCGATGATTAACCTCAAGAAAAGTTAAGTGAAACAAAACCTAGATTGGTAATAGGTTCTTCTTAGCATGTTGTGTTCAAGTATAATATAATTTGTCTGTGTGTCACACACCGTATTATTGCATACATTGATCTCCGGGTGGTCATATAAACTGTTTCATTTCCTCAACAAAAAAATTTTTCTAGCCATTCTTAAGCTGCAAGGCAGCGCCATCTCTTCGCATTATAGGTAACCCACAATGTCAAATGCCTTGCAGCTTATGAATGGCTAAAAGGATTTCGACGCGGTCCATGAGGGCCGCGGTAGCATAATTGGTCAGTGCATCCGCCTGGATTGCGAAGGGTGCGGGTTCGAGTCCCGGCTGCTGCCTGGTCCGCGTGGTTTTTTTTCTAATTATATATTTTCTTTAGATAAAGGAATATTTTTAATATTTCTAAAAAAGCAATTTCATTTAACTTGAACTTGTGAAGTTTTCAATGATTAACTTTGAGGAAAGATAAGTTAAATCACAACCTAGATTGGTAATAGCTTCTTAGCATGTTGTATTCAAGTATAATATAATTTGTCTGTGTGTCACACACCGTATTATTGCATACATTGATCTCCGGGTGCTCATATAAACTGTTTCATCTCTTCAACAAAGGCATTACGAATCTTAATCGCAGTAATTTAACCCGATTCCGATATGATTCTCTAAAATTAATCAAAATCAAAAATCATTTATTCCAAGTTCCAAGCACTTGTGAAAGTCGAGAAACTACGCCAATCTCCCTATTCTATCCATACGGAAGGCCTGTGCCCCAGCAGTGGGGACATTAATAGGCTGATGATGATGATGAGGGGAGCCCAACTGGCGATTTATGGAATTACTCGAGGATTATAGGTAACCCACAATGTCAAATGCCTTGCAGCTTAAGAATGGCTAAAAGAATTTCGACGAGGTCCATGAGGGCCGCGGTAGCATAATTGGTCAGTGCATTCGCCCGGATTGCGAAGGGTGCGGGTTTTCGAGTCCCGTCTGCTGCCTGGTCCGGGTGGAATATTTTCTAGTTATATTTTCTTTAAAACTAAACGTGATGCAAATTTTATTGCACGTTTGTTCTGGTGATAATAGAAGTTTCTAAATTATAAAATTAAGAACTGGCCACTCAGTAGAAAGTAAATAGCTTGGGTAATTAAATGCAATGAGAATAATATTATACTTAAGTTAATATAATCCGTTTTAGGGAGCACTTGCCATGAACCACATTATTACACACAAGCAATGACGCAAAAAAAAAAATTATAAAGCCAGGTAGACAAATGACTTTACCCCACCTGATGTAAAGTGGTGATAAAGTCCAAACGCGAAGACAGCTGGTACAGCAGTTATAAACTGCCACACCTCACCTTGCCGGCCTGCAAAAATGCTTCTTCACGCTTCTCTTAAAGGACCCCAGATTGTAGGAAGGTGAACACGTGCG